GACCTTCCAGCTATGCCTGGCTAACAGTACAGACATTACAATGAATCACTGCATATGCCCTTATGATATCGTATCCAATGATATAAAACAGACCTTTAGTCTTTACCAAATTACCTGTCTTGGCTGTGTTTCAATGGACTAGTATTTTGTAAAATACAGCTACATTATATACGTATATACATTAATACTACTTACAAATAAGTTCTTAAACTTATTTTTCTTAAAATGTAGAAAAGTAAAGCAAACAATTATCTCTTTTACTTATGACCTGTGTACTCCTTTGCTGCTTGTCGTAGGTTGCTAAGCCTTACGAAATTTCTCACGTGGAGGATATGAAAATATATTTTTTGTTTTAGGTTTTATATACACATTTTAAATAACCAAAAATAGTAATGAAAATTCTTATATTGATACCATAAATTCCACTATAACTTATCAAGTGTAATAATTAAGTTGTATTTGGGTAGAATAGAATATGAAATTTTGAGCTCACTAAAGATTTGCCTTATCGTTTCAAATCTTGAGAGAAAAGAACAAGATTAACACATCAAAATGGCGAAGAAAACCACTAGGGGACATTTTGAGCTTTGGATTGGTTATTCATGTCATCTATAGAAGTAAGTGTATATAAGGGAAAGTTTTCAAAAATGCAAAGAGGGGGCAGGACGGCTAATGTGTTTGATTTAGTGCATGAGCAATATCTTTGCACATAGAAAAGATAAGAGGTTCTTAATTTATATTCAGGCTTTTCAGTATCAGTAGTTTGAGTTCCTAATTTGTATGAAACTATAGACTTAGTATTTTGACATCACAAACATCTAATTTGAACCAGTGCTGCATTCAACATAGCACTTGACATCAGTATGTAGCTGTTTTTAATATTTATTTTCAATTAAGAAAATAACTAACATATACTACTAAAATTTTAATTATAATGTACAATTTGATACCAAACTTATTGATATAAATTCATGAAATTGTAGTTCAACAAAATTTTGAAGTCAACAAACGAGATGACATGGCCTTTGTTGTGAAAGTAACTAAAATGTAAAAAAAAAAAAAGTGAACTTGGTTTAGATTAAGCAAGATAATGAATAGTAAATTCTTTACAAGGTATGTTTGTGAGCAGCTTGTGTATTACGTTATTCAATACAGTAGCATGAGCGATGTGTTAGTGAGTGGTTTACAGCTTTTGATTGAATTATTAGTTAGACGTACTTCAAGAGCAATAAAACAACAGAATTAAGTATAGACAGATGTATACTGTTAGGAGTCTTAAAGCTGTTTAATATAAACAGCTGTAGTTTTGTTACAATATGTAGTCATTCTAGAAAGTAAAAAATGAGTAATTTATATTTCTTTTTATATTGGCTACAAGATTGGCAGAATCATACAGAGTTAGGGTAGATAAATTATAAAGTTTTACTGAAAAAAAACGTTGATATTTGTTTAGGAGAGTTTAGAGGTCATGCGAATGAAATTTTAAAATATCCAGATGAAGAAAAGTTGTTAATCTTTATGAAAATCGTTTTTGCAGAACAGGTAACACTAACTTTGTATATTCTCAGGCAAATCTTTAATAAACGAGAGGAAATCCTCAATAGCCACAGCACTTGAAATGGATATGGTCAAATAAATCAAACAAAAGGGTTTGACCTCCGAGTCCAAAACTGTAATTAGAACTCAAATTGGTTAAGAGGTGACTGAGCTATGAGCTCAAACTTTGTACTAAAAAATAAGTTTGAGCCATTCTATGAACAGATATGCTGCAGCTAAAAAGACTTGTAATTCTTAGTAAAAGCTTGCCAATTTTGTAAATGTATAAGTACTTTCAAAGTTCTAATATGTATACTTTCATTGTTTTGTAGTGATTACATGGCCCTGTGAATAGCTAGCACATTGTGCACATGTATAAATCTTTAATGTAGTCTGAATTAATTCAACTGTATCTTCAGATTTGTAGGCAAGTTTATACCACACAAGGAACGAGAAAAACTTATGGGTGAAAAAGCACGCAGATTTACCAATGTGTATGTAAAGAATTTTGGAGATGAATTTGATGATGAAAAGTTACAAGATTTTTTTGAAAAGTATGGGAAGATCACAAGTGCAAAGGTAAGTCATTCTGTTAAGGGAATGGGGTGCAGGTGGATGTTACAAAGGTGTGTCTGTTACATATAAGTGAAATTATTTGCATCAAGAATATATAGGTGAAAATGTAACACTATGGCAGTGGTAAAAATATATATATATATATTAATAATAAGCAAAACCAAATTCTAAAAAGTTAGGTTTAAGACAAGTTCTCAGTCTGCCCCCTTGAAGCAAAATACAATATTAAAATGTCTAACAAAAACAAATCCAAACAATTTACTTTTAATATGCGATTGTGCCAGTAACAAATATACAAAACAGGATACTTACAAATCTTACCATTTGGCAGGAAAGTACAAAAGGTACAAGTTTTAAAGGAAGAAGTCTGCAGCAATAGCTCCTAAAATAGTTGGGGATATTTCAATCTATCAGATATCTTAAAAAATGAGAACTAGCAAGAAAATTCAAATTAGGACTAGGTTTAGGGTACTATAACTCAATATCCTAAAACCTACTACCACTCACTATCTGTAGTTAACACTGACTCTATGTTCACAGAGAAAACTTGTAAAAAATACTTAATTAAAAAAAATTTTGGGTTCAAAATGCTTATAATGTTCACTGAAAGCTTGCCAAATTTCATTAAGATACACAAAAGACTAAAGGTTATAGAAACTGGTGTCTTTGAAGTTACAAACTCTGTCAACTCTGCAGAGTCCATAGTGTGAGGGTTAACTCTTTCATGCTATAACTTTTAAATTAGTAAGCAAATGTTAACAAAATTTGGCAGTTTATCAGTAAACATTACAATGCTTTCATACGCAAAATAGAAATTTTTTTATTATTATTATTATTATTAAATTTTAAGGTTTGTAAAGCATTTTTTTTTTTTCACATCTTCCCTATCTATCATGCAAAGTGATTTTCAATGTAAGATTAAAAATACTTTTATGCATCAGAAAATTTTGAAATTTCACAGGCAAAATCTTTATGATGTTCGGATAGTTATCAAACATTTCTTTAAAAAAAACTATTTTATCTGTTATTTTCAGTAATTAATCTCTGTAAGGGTTTGGTAGATTTGACTGATATTGCAACCACCATAAAAAATTGGGAAATAAATATAAATTATGCATCTTTCATTCTAGAACGAACACAAATTATAACACAAACATAAGTGTTTAGACTAAATAGTTTAAATCTCATAACATTATACATTTATTATTTTTTATTATATTGACCTTTCAACCGTGCCTGGCTAACAATACAAAAGTTACAATGATGCAGCACACATGCACTCATGTTACTGTATCAAATAACAAAGGTGACCTTTGGTCAGTACAAAGTGACCTGTCTTGGCTGTGTTTTAGTGGACTAGTATTTTGTAAAATAGTCACATTTCAATTATTATTCATTATATATGTATATAGATTATTGCTATTTTGAAGTAAGTTTTTAGTTATTTTTCCTGAAACTGTAAATAAAGAAGAAAAGCAAACAATTATCTCTTCTAGTTATGACCTTTGTACTTGGTTGCTAAGCCTTTAAAGATTTTGCATGTAGAGGATATGAAACAAAATATTTTGTTTAGGTTTTGTATATAATTTTGAATAACTAAAAACTCATAAAGTAATACATCAGTACCATAGAATTCTGTATATACTTAGCTGTATATGGGTCTTAAAAAATACGAAATTTCAAGCAGACTAAAAACACAATCTACCTGATTGAAATCTTGGTTCAAAAGAAAGAAATGGCATTAGGTACATTAGAAATGCTGAGAAATCCACTAGGGGGCATTCTGAACTTCTAATTGGTTATTCATGCTATATATAAAAGTAAGTGTATGTAAGGGAGTGTTTCCAAAAATGGAAAGAGATGGGCAGGGTGCTACTGTGTTTGATTTATTACATGAGCAATATCTTAGCAAATAGAAAAATAAGACCTTATTTTATATTCTAGCTTGTCAATATTTGTAATTTTAGTTTCTAATTCATATGAAACTATGGACTTAGTATTTTGACTTCACAAATATCTAATTTGAACCAGTGCTGCATTCAACATACCACATGATACACAAAAATTGATGTTTAACTGTTTTTTAATATTTACTTTTAAATTAAGAAATTGAGTAATGTATAGTTGAATTTTTTTTAATTATAATCTACAGTTTGATACCAAACTTATTGACATAAATTCATGAAATAATAGTTCAATAAAATTTTGAATGCGAGTCAGCGAATGACATCACATGGCCTTTCACCTGTGACCCATCTCGAAAGGGTTAATTGATTAGCAAATTACACTACACTCCCATTTCTGTAGCTAATTAGTATTACTAACCGAAAACAATTTTTTTTTTTTCTGTTAATTTATATATGATGGTTGTTTCAAACACTTTCTATGTGTGTTCATTCTTTTTAATTTTCAAGTGTACTTATTCCTAGTTTGTATCTCTACTGTTTAGCATCCATTAAATTTTGTTATTGATTTGATTTTGAAAGTCAAGAAAGAGGTATTGAAACTTTTCAATTTTTAATATATGATATACAGGTAATGCCAGATAATGATGGGAAGTCTAAAGGTTTTGGATTTGTAAGCTTTGAAGACCCAGAGAGTGCTGAGAGGGTGAGGTTTTTTTGGTTTTTTTTAAGTTGTGAAAAACTTGTTAAATATCCATAAATTGAAGGAAAATTTTGCCTTTTTCCTCCTCAATTTCTTGGAAATGATAATGATCTCATTTTATTTTAAGATTAATGTTTCAGAGAATTAATTGAAAAACAATTATTTTTAAAAATAGAATTTTTATATTGAATACTTAACCCTTTCACAACTTGTAGCTGTTCATCATTCAGAGTGCATGCTTGTAAATCTGCTTTGAAACAGTAACAAAATAGATATGAACAATTTTGTACTTTGAAATATTGCAGAGTATATGTTTTAGCATTATAATATTTGTATAGTTTATTTCTTAAATAATGATAAAAACAACAACAAAAAACGAATTTCAGTCATCTGTCTTGGTGTTTAAACTGTGACCATAACCAAGATTTATTTAAATGTTTCCTATCTTCTAATTTTACATTTGTTTCTCACATTTATGTATTATAATGTTACTGAATTTGAAATGCAGGCATTTCAAATAAATGACATATCTGTGACACGTTTTGAAACGTAAATGTTATTTTTTTGGTCAACTTATTTATAATGCAGTCAAAGTCACTTAAATGTAGCTATTTACAATGTCATTACACATGTTTTGCATAACTACTCTAATAGTAGTGTTGATACTTGTACTGTAAGTAGACTTGGTGATGCATATGATATGCCACTTGTTGAAAGAAATGGTGCAGTAAAATACTTATTTATGGCACACGTAATAATAATAATAACATATCTAACAAATGCTCAAAAATGTGTAATGTCATTTATCTGTGACTAATAGCAAAGTATGATCCTAATGTTCATTAATGGCTTGGATTTGTACTAGAGTTAAAAAAAACTAAGGTTATTGTATACAGAAATTAGCTGACAAGACTAACTTCGGTAAAACAAATACATATAGAAATTTCATGATTTGCTAATAAGAGAATACCATAAATAAATGACAGCCAAAAACTCCTGTACCACCTACAGATGTGTTCAGTTGGCTTTGAGGCATTATAATTTCTTAATTATTTTACACTTACATAATATAGAAATATCTCAATAGCAAAACATAATCCCAGATATCAGATTATTTATTATTTCGTTAACTTTAGAAGCAAAGTTAACAAAACCTGTAGAAAGTTGAATTTTATAGTTCCTGATATCACCAACGTCAAAAATGAACTGTTTGAACAATTTTAGCTAAAAAATAAGCAATCAAAAAATAAAAAAAAATCAATAATGAGCTGCTGCATAAAATGTTACCTATTAAAAATAATTGAATAACCTGAAGAAAATTTTTTATTCTGTATACATGATTGATTTCTGCAAATGCTGTTCTGAAATTTATTGAATGGCATTTTTAGAAATCTGTAGGAATGAATAAATGTCTATTTTTGACTGAGCTTAGCAGCATAATGCTTGCCAGACATAAGTGTGAACCAGAAGGTATCTGATCATAGTGATTCATTGAAAACCCTCAAAACTGCAGAGAATGTGGTTTATTCCAACAGGTTTGTTGAACTTGTATGTTTAGGAATAGACCATATCAAAAACACATGAAATTGAAAGTTTTGGCATTTGGTTAAATGATAAAGTAAATACTCAATATAGTAAAAGTATTGTGTTGGTGTTACATTGAGGATGCAAGTTTGTAAAAATTTAATGTTTTTAAAAAATTCTGTTTTAGTATTCAGAAATTGATCACTGTTTTAGAGTTAACACAAGTTTATAAATGAGTGAAAATTTGATTTGTCATTTTTTTTTTATCTGTAGGCAGTTGATGATATGAATAGTAAAGAATTAAATGGGAGAATTCTCCATGTTGGACGGGCTCAAAAAAGAGCTGAACGTCAAGCAGAACTGAAACGGAAGTTTGAGCAGCTTAAAATAGAGCGTATTACAAGATATCAGGGAGTAAACCTGTATGTGAAGAACCTTGATGATGGAATTGATGATACAAGATTACGAAATGAATTTGCTCCATATGGAACCATAACTAGTGCAAAGGTAAATTGCTATGTTCAAAAAGGGTAGTTATTGTAGATATGCTTATTTTGTTAAAAGATAGATATGATAATAGTTCTCTTAGGCATATGATGTGTCTTGTATTTTATACATTTTTGTGAAAATAGGATTTCTATAAACTTAAATAAAATGACTTATCTCCAGAATGTAACTTAGCCCAATATTTTGCTATTACAGCTTCATCAGGTACTATTGATTTCCTACCAGTTCACTAATCTAGTTGAATCTAAATTTCTAGATTCTAATGGATTAGTGAACTGGTAGGAAATTGGTAGCACCTGATAAAGCTGTCATAGTGAAATATTGAGCTAATGTAATTACATACTGGAGATATAGGTTATTTTATTTACGTTTGTAAAAATTTCTTGTAATAAACTTGTGTTAAACAAAATTAATTATAAAAATAGGTTTTATTTTGAGATACACAGACCTACGTGCTTTTGTTTTGGATCATTGGTTTTAATGAATGCATGTCAGTTATCCAAACTCATTAGTATACTTTTTTTGTCTTTAGGTTATGACAGACAGCAATGGTCGCTCCAAAGGTTTTGGGTTTGTGTGCTTTAGCTCACCAGAGGAAGCAACAAAAGCTGTGACTGAGATGAATGGTCGTATTGTTGTTTCCAAGCCACTTTATGTGGCATTGGCTCAAAGAAAAGAGGACCGCAAAGCTCACTTAGCCTCACAGTATATGCAAAGAATGGCTGGCATGCGCATGCAGGTAAATTGAGGATCTAGTATATCAGTTTAAAGTAGTATTTATGCCTTTACCTTAAGAATATATACAGTCTTCTCGGGATTAACTTTATAAAGCTAAATCCATCAGTTAGTCATACAGAAATTGCTAAATTTTGATGAAAACTTTGAACAAGAAATTAAATTCATTTTCAAACAATTTTTCTAAGAAAAATTAGCAAACTAGCTGTAATGTTTGAAAGCTCTAATACTAAGTTATTGATGAAATGCAATTTTATTGTATTTGTTCATTTGCCATTTGTTGTGATGACCAGATAGGCCACTAGTTTCTATACAGTCAACCAATTTTAAGGTTAAAAAGAATTTGGAAGTGAGTGATTTTTCTTTTTAATTTTATTCTTAAGTTTATATCTAATCACAAATACCTTATGTGTTAAAAGGTGTAGCCAAAAAAGAATTGAGTGTATGACTTAAAGGAATGAAATCAAAACTGGTGGCCAAACTAGTAGCTACACTTGTAGCATTGGTAAGAATTTTACAGCAAATATTCATTCATTAGTTAGCCAGGCCTTGTTTTTTGTTCAACTAAACATGATGGTGGGTAAAATAAAATACTCAATCCATTTTTGTTGCACTTTTTTTTCACACATAAGGTGTTTTTAATTAAATATCAAGACTATTTTTCAGTATGCACCAACAAACCTCAACATGTAAGAAAGTGACACTCAGTAGTAAGTCACATTAGCTTTAGAATTGCAACCCTATTATTTGGAACAGACCTTTACTTTACAGAATCAACCTGATTCTTTAAAATTTATAGTGGTCATTTCTCCTCTAAAATATTGTTAATAGCTTTCTTTATCTCTTTCACTACGTGGTCAGTCAATGTGAAGAGGGGTGGTGGATAAAATGGGGATGATGACACGCTAAGACAAAATGTGTCACGTGGGTCACACAATAGAAATTCAGAATTTTTTAAAAATATTCCCTTGTAGATTTAAGAACTTAACTTGTATACTATTAAAATGGCTTATTAGCTAAGATTTTATGCTATTCTAATTGGTATAACATAAACAAAAAGTAGCATAATAAAATTCTAGATGTAAGACACTAAAACCTTGTGTCATATGCAGTAAAGGATACCCAAGGCAATAGGGTTAACAACACACTATACCGTGTGTCTTGATTTCATGTTGCTTACAACTGTTCTTCCAAATAATTGTTAGGTAACTTGTGTGAGGAAGTATTGTAGCGATGATAGTTACAATTGCGAGGTATTGGTAGTTTAAAGCAAGAAACTAATAATTTTTCAAATTTCCAGCTTGGCCAAATGTTCCAACCTGGAGGAGCAGGTTACTTTGTACCAACTATGCCACAGGCTCAGCGTGGCTACTTCCCCTCGCAAATGCCCCAAATGCGAGCTGCTACTCGTTGGCCTGGCCAGCCAGCCATTCATCATGGTGGACAACCAAGTGCAGGTTTGTCATACCTTTTCTGAAAGTTCTGATATCAATGTAATCAACCAATGATTTAAATATAAATAAATCTTTTCCTTGGTGAGAGTGAAAAGTAAAAAATTTCAAAGACACTGATTTTTTTTTTTGAAATTGATATTAAAAATAGTAGTTTAAAGAGCAATTCAATAATTTCCTATCTGTTTATCATTATGATTTAATAAGGTTGTATTAATTGATTTAGGATGAATACAAGTTTTGTTTGTTTTGATTTTTTAAATTTGTGTTTATATAATATATTTTACCATTGTAAAGCATTCCAAGGAGTTCACTCTGTCCCCTATGCACGTCAGTCAAGACCTCAAGCTGGAGGACAACCAGGATTGCGAGGTGGAATAAGTGCTCGACCTATTACAGGTCAGCAGGGAACAGCTGCTGGTCGAGTGGCAGGAATGCATCCCTCTGGTATTCCTACAGCAGGCCCAACATCTATTCCAGGGGCTAATGTGAACCACCCTCGTCCTGCTACTTTTAAGTACACAGCTAACATTCGTAATCCTCATCAGCCAGTTCCCGTTGGTCAGCCAGCTGTCCAACAGGTAATACAGTTCATAATATATGAATTACATTTGAAAATAAACTTTCCTTATGAAGGATCATAAAGGGCATATGTTTGTGATTAATACACTTAGTAAGATACAGGATGTAATTTTGATTTGAAGATCAGTGACCAGCCATAATGTCAAATTTGGAAAATGGCTGGCCAAGCAAATGTTATTTTAATAACATACTCAGACATGTTTTCTTAAGTAACAACCAATTTGAAGTACCAAGCAGAATCTATAATAATTATATTGTGAAAACTTGGTTTTGTATTTTGCCATTATATTTGTATCACTATTGTGCTTTCTTGATTTCCTACTGTTGACTATGTTGGTAAACTACAACATGTTAGTTATGTTTGAATATTACATCCTGAATTCATCATTTAGTACTACTTCTTCAATAATAGAAACTCAAATTAACTTTCAATTTATGCAAAGGATATTTTTAAAACTGTAAAGCTATTTAGTAAATATAAAGTTGTGCTTAATTGAACTTGCATGCTTCCTGTTTTTGTTATTAACTGTATGCTGGAAGGTAGTTACTGAAATAATGCTGGTGATATATGCCTTCTCTCTTACCATTTGGAACTTTGCTGTTTTTTAAATTTATTTATTTATATAATACACCCCATGGACAACAGTTTCTAACAAGTATGTTTGAACATCTGATACAAGTCTCAATTTATATTTCTTATATAAAAACAAACACGCACACACAGGGAATGGTGTGAAAACTTGGTATTTGTAGCTGTAAGGCTTTATGGGGGGGTCAAGCAAAAGAGTGAATAAATGTCTAGTTCGTGGTTAATTTTACTTGAAAAATAGTTATCAGTGATTTAGTATTTTTAAAGTATTGGAATTCATAAGTAACATTTCATAAGGAAACTAGGTAACTTAATGTTAAATTCTCAATCTACACTGCAAGTCTTTGCCCACATGTCTATGAGCTAATGAAGTTGACTTTTTAGGCTGATTTGCCAGTATATGTAACAACTATCACTTTGAAATCATCTTAAGATGCAAGCAGTGTGGCTTATTTTAGCTCTTTAAAATGGTCACAGATGTGGTTTTAAAATTCTTTAACTATAATAATTTGAATTAACCTTTAGGTGCCTCAACAAGCTGTACACATTCAAGGACAGGAACCACTAACATCTTCTATGTTGACCGAGGCTAACCCACAAGAACAGAAACAGATGTTGGGAGAACGCCTTTTCCCACTCATTCACCGTACACACCCAGATTTGGCTGGCAAGATTACTGGAATGCTGCTTGAGATTGACAACTCTGATTTGTTACACATGTTGGAACACCATGAATCCCTGAAAGCCAAAGTATGTTACTGTTGAGTTATTCCTTCTGGTAGTTGTACCATTGTTTTCTTTCTGTGGATAAATGTAAATTTGATTATTCCTGTAGTTGAGTAATGTAGATTGTGTTGTAAGAGGTTTTCTTAGTTATCTATGAACTATTTTTGGTTATATTTTTTCACTTAACTCTTTCTTATCCAGTGACTTGGGTTATTACAGGTACAAAACGACATCAAGTTTTGAAAAGTTATCTGTGACTTAACCCTTCATATTATGCCCAAAAAGTAAAATAACTGAAATATTGAGATTTTAAATTTTCTAATGGATTTGCTTAGATGAAATTTGTAGAAATATCCAAACTTCTAGTTTTCCATTTTTGCTCACTGTTGTAATTATTATTGATATGGTGGACATTGTTAAATTTTGCCTGCATAGGTACACATTGTCAGTGGGCAAAACTGAGCTGCAAATCTGATAATTTTGCATTCATTTGAAACTTGTTTTTTAACTCGTATATTCTTGGTGTTATGATGGCTGATTTATTTCATAATTCTTTCTTTTTCTCTGGTTAGGAATATGTTTCTTTAATACAAAATAGTGTGTGTGTGAACTATGTAGATGAAAATGTAAACTAAATGTAATTGAATTTTGAAAGAAAAAATTATGAATAATGCGCATTAACTTAAATAAATACAGCTGTTATTTTCTGCCACTTTTCAAGACTATTATTAAAGTTAAACATTTTCAAAATTGAAGTGGATATTTTCTGATATGCAAGGCTCAGAGTAGGTAGATTTACAGATTCTAGACTACTCTGGTTTCTTGTGGATAGTGATTGGAAACTAAGATTAAATTAAAACAAAATATTGCTGTCCTTACTTTACTTGTATGAACAAAGTATATAGACCTAATTAAATGTAATGTTAACCTATGTGTAAGAGGATCAGCACCATTCATTTTGGGAAAAAACAATTGCCCCCCCTCCCAATCCCCATCCCCAATGAAAAAAAAACAAAAACTTGTCTTTGCATGACCTATGATTTATTTGTTGTGTTGTGTAAAATATCTTTGCTGAGTGCAAATGATGCTATTAGTTCTGTTTCATCACTGCATGCTACAAATATATTTATATGACAAGTAAATGGACACCTGCAAGTTTTCTGAATCAAATTCAATGTTAATTTTTTTTTCTCCAATAGCAAATATTGGTTAAGCTTTCCCATTAATATACAATTTCGACATGTTCCAAAAATTATATGTAATTTTCACATTGACCTACCTTAGTTTATTGCCAACACAATTCTTGTTCAGCATAGAAATGTGGTCAATTATTTCTAAGACTATTTTATGCCCAACTGAAATATGAAGGTTTGGGAAACTAGTATGATACCTTACACTTGTTTTGACACGCTGTTCTTACCAGCTTCACCATTTTCGATGTTTTTCTAGTATTTTTAATAAAGCAGGCTGTGTACCAAAAAAAAACAACAACCATTTGGCTAAAACATATTTCAAAATTAAATGATGAGCTCTGAATTTGCTTTTCAAACACGTAAGAATAACCAATACAGGATGCTGTTTATCTCTTGTACAAGGCTGATGATATTTTATGGCTTATTGTAACAGTATCTTGTAAACAATCAAACTTGTTTACTTAAGAGTTTAAAAAAAATTCTGATATAATGGAGAGAAACCAAATTTGGGAACAAGAGTAAAGGATTTTTTAAACAAGCATGGTTTAGATAGTGTTCAATCTTGTTTGTAAACTGTGTTAACTGTTTGGTTAAGCAAATTTTGAATATTGTTTTTAGTGCAAAATGATAATGGATTTTTTATTCATGGTGTTTTTAGAACATAAGTATGCTAATTTTCTCTGAATTTGTAATTCTAATGTTCAATTTGTTTACAGATTTTGTCCCATAGAAACAGTGCTGCCTGTCTATTTTTTGCCAAAACTTTATATAGCTACATGCTATGGTAACATAAATGCCATTTAAAAACAAAACAAAAATTTAGTGTTTTAAAACCTATGGCTTCATTTGAAATATGAGAAAGCACATTTTTTACTTTTGTAAAATAATTTAATAGTTAGGTTCAAGGACTATTTTGTTAATTTTGAAGTATGAGAGAGGGAAGGTAATGGATGTTTTTTACTATTATTATTATTAGGTTGAGGAAGCTGTTGCTGTTCTTCAGGCTCATCAGGCCAAAGAAGCCCTGGCTGTAGCAACTGTAGTTGGAGTGAAGAAGGAATAAACAAAACAGCATTTAGTTTATAGAATTTTCTCCACTAACAGAACAGGGTATTTTGTTTATAAGACATTACAGCTGTATTTAACAATAGTCAACATTCTCGCAGTAGTTGTACTTAATTATACTTGTCATAAGACTACGTTAGGCGTATTATGACAAGTATAATTAACTATAATCATGCTTTACCAGCTTACAAAAGGCATTTGCATCATAATGTTTCTATAACTGTTCAAACAGAGCATCAGCAGTGAATGACAACCATAATATAAAAAAGAAATTCATATTAAACAATACATGCTGAATTGTCTTACAAACATAAGAATATCACTGGCAGCTCTAGCAATCTGCTTGTGATGGGTGGGTGGTGTTGTGTGATCAGAACTCATCTGATTTTTATGGTGTTTCCTACAAACATTAGTACTTTTTATGGTTTAAAAAATAAAGAAAAAAAGCAAGAAAAGAGAAAATGCCCACGTGAACATCAAATTTAGATGGTTTGAAATACAGAAATATATATATATATGTATACATAATACAAAAAAAATTAAAAAAATAGCAAAATACTAAATATACATAATAAAAAAAAATTTTAGTATTAATTTGTCTTTATTCAATCTTTATGTATGCTGTAATATTATTGGGCTGTAAATCATGTTATTCTTTGCATCAATAAAGGGGTTGTTAAGGTATTCAACTCTTGAGTTTGTTTTGCAGTTGATATTGTTAGTTGCTACTACTAATTATATCGTTTATTAGGGTCGGAAAAAAATGTATGATAGTTGTTGTAATGAATCACTATAGTGGTTCATAATGGGGATCTCGCAGAATTTGCTGAAAACTCTTAATAGAACATTCTATCAAAAACCACGTTAAAAAAAACATTCTTGAAACAACACTCAAAACCTCCCTTTTCAATAGTTAAGACCACCCAGACATTGATAATAAGCAAAATAAGTGATCTCACGATTGTTAAGACAAAATCACAACATTGCTATTTGTTCATGTTATTATGATTATTAATATTGTTTCACAAGCTTACAGCAAAATTGGCTGTGTATTTTGCACCAAAACTGAGACAGAATCACTATATGAAAGACTGCCCTATTTAAAAGTTGATTATTTTTCATTGAAAGTTGATTTGTGGTTATAAATACACAAGCTGAAATACCTGTCAACTGACAAGGAATGTTTAAACTTTAATTAAAACAAGTACTCGTACATTTCAAAGTAATAACTTGAACATAAACTTTATCTCAATTTTTAAATTATAACAAAGCTTCTTCATAAACAGCAGTTTGTTTTCCAACTACCAACAAATAAAGATTTTAAGGTGATCCCACCTTTCAACATCCTACATCTCACTGACCATGAGAAAAGCATGGTTGTTTGGGAAACAATCCAACTTTCATACTTTGACCTTGAATCCCTCTAGAATATTCAACATTGTCTACAGTGTCAACCTGCCAAGATTGACTCAATAGGCTGGGGGTAATTAACCAACAGGCTCTACAAAATAGAAATTGGGTTAAGTTCAATTTTAACCCCTTTAGGACATTTCTCATAATACATAGTGTTTACATACAAATTTTGGTTGAGATTCACCCAATAGGCTCGGAGGAGTGCTGCTCGTGTTTACACGAAATCTCAAACACAAAGCCACCAGGCTCTGTAAGTAATTACTTAAGTAAATAAAACTATTATTTAAAGACACGTTTTAGAGGTATTTGTTTTAGTTGAGAAGACCGCTTTTTTCTGGTAAAATGTTACACTTAGTAGGGGTTGTCTTCTATATTATGACTTCATTATAAAATGATTGTGTTATCTACTGTAGTGTGGGATCGCACAGAAATTTTGCAAAATACTCAGAGACTACTTTTAAACTTAACTCGATCTACTTAATTTTGACCTGCTGCGAAATTTTCCAAGCCCTTCACTTTCTGCAATCGAAAAATCCGGTGTTTTCCTAGCATACACATTAGTTGGAAACTACAATTCCTGCATTGATTGGAAACTGCCACGTGAAAGGTTCTCGATTTTGCTGTTGCATATCATTACTCGAATTTGCTGTCTCTATGCGGATTCCTGCGACTATATTTCAAGTTTTTAACAGTGGACGATTACCATAATAGATTTTCCTATTCAGACGACTGTGGTGACTCTTGCTAGTGTTTTTATACTTGCTGAAATCGTGTGTGTGTGTTCAGTATTTATTACCACTGCATATAGTACTATTTCATATAGTTATCGCTGTTTCTAAATAGTTGGTGTTAAGGTAGCGATTGTAAATGTAGATGACTTGCGCTTAGTGTGTCGATATTATCTATTTTGCATGCCTTATTCTACTTGTGCACAACAGGTTATTGAAGAACATGCAGTTATAAGAGGGTGAGCATGTTACTGAGTGTTATTACATTGCATTAATCTGTGTTGTATTTTCTTGGAATAAACATTATTCCATCTGATTCGATTGTTTTATTACTTCTCAACTTTTGTTACATTATACAGTGAAAGTGATGGAAGCCGTCATCAAATTTATACACAAGCTTTGCCTTCAAGATAGTCCCTTGAGAACAACTTTACATTTTGTTTGTTGTAATTACATGTGTTTATTCTTTTATTTTGAATAAGTTCAGAGTGATGGTTGGGTGAAAAAGCCAATGCAGCAATAATCTGTTGAAAAAAAACTAACATTCAACTAAACGCATATGTTGAAAAATGAATCTCCATAAATGGACATAAAAAGTGTTAAACAAGATTTTTTAAAATGTTAATTTAAAACGGGGAGCACGAAAAAACAGAAACGAACAAATGTAAAGATTATATTTTCAAGCCTACGACTTTCGGCAAAAAAAAAATTAAACAAGGCTGGGGAAATAGTGTACATTATTTTCTCGAGTTACAAATCCTTATTTTAAATGGTTTGAAACGTTCCTTGTGTACTGAAGGGCTGGGTGATGGTTCTGAACGAAACTGATAAAATTATTGAGTTCACCTGTGCTGGAAGTTGAGATTCCAATGATGTCATTAATGTATAGTCGGTATAAAACAGGCATAAGTTCGAAGAATGTTGTGTTCTATGTAGCTTACAAACAGGTTGGCGAATGATGGTCCCATCCTGGTTCCCATGACTACACCCTTTGTAATACAAGTCATTGAAAGAAAAAGCGTTCAATGTTAAACTAGTTCGGCTAGTCTTACAAGAGTGCCTGTTGATGGCTCTAGCACTTGTCGCTGGTTGAGGTAGAACACTAAAACTTCAAGACCTCACTATGCGATATGACAGTGTACAAGGATTTGATGTCTACTGTGAATAGTAATGGGTTAGGAGTAGTTGGGGATATTTCGCTAAATATCTGAAGAGACTCGGTTGTATTTGTGACATAGGTTAGAAGAGTACGCACCAAAGATGTGATTTTGTCTTTAAAAACTAGAGATTAACTGTAGGATAATTACATGTTGAAACTGTAGATCTCCAGGTTTGGGTAGGTGTTCTTGGTTCTTCTGTAATTAAGCCTCGTGCATCTAGTGGGAGTATCTTCTGCACCTATTACATTGTTTATAATCTCCTTTAAAGTATTTTGGTATTCTCAGGGAACTGTTTGTAGTTTAAAATAGTATTCTCAATTAGAGAGTTATTGTTCTGCTTCCACTTTTTACAGGACCTTGAACCATATGACTATGGTACCACCTTTATCCGCAAGTTTCATGACGATGTCATGTATATCTTTAAGTTCTTTGATGGCTTTTTTTCTCATCTATGGTCAGGTTGTGTTTAATAGAAAAATTTAGGTTATTGATTTCCTCTTGACACTTGTCGATAAAATACCCTAAAGCTGGAAATTTTTCTTGGTTAGGTGTCCAGTTGTTATTTTGTCTTTTGAATGAAATGAAAGGATTTTCATTAGAAGAAGGAAGGATATCTTTGTTGTCCTCGGATGGATTTTGGTTATTGTTCAACAAAGCTATTGTTGCTGAATTGAGTTCGTAAGCGTAAACGCCGAAAATGTGTATGAGTATGAGGGCGTGTAGGAACAATTTAAGACTTTTGATCAAAGCTGATCTTTCAATGTTTGATAGTAGAAGGTTAGGAGGGATGGTTATGACCTGGTTGGATTAAGTTTTTGTGCGATTTATGTTCCTGTAAGCTTGAGGCTTGCTGTTGTTGATATGGTCTGTTTGAATATTGTGGGTCAATTGATTATTGTTTGTTCCATATTATCTCAAATATGATTTTTTTTTTAGTTGTGGGTGAAGGCCACAGACAGTATAAGAATGATTTTTAATATTTTCTAAGTTTTTGACTTGTGTGATTTTACGTTATTTAATGTGATAAAATACTTTTTGTTTAGTTCAAGTGTACTGAGCGTGCCGTCTCTTCATATAGACGATAGCGTTTGATAGCAAAGGTTTTGAGATGCAAAAAAATTGCCGCTGCTATTGGAATACCACATAATCTCAACTAAAGTTTCTACTCCAACAGCCACCATAAGGCTGATATGAGGAGTCGTTTCTTGAGTTATACCCACTTCCTATTTGGACCCATGACCTTTCAACTTCGGCTCGTAACACACTTCTGCGGTCAATTAATTAATAACGTGAAACAATGTGGAAGAACATCAAGAGCTGGGTGTCGAAAGCACATCACAGGAAGCACCCCTACCGCCACTACTTTTGTCTCTACCTCTTCCTACAAAGTAACCCTGACCGTCTCACAGCGTATACCATATTTTAACTATATACATATTGAGTTCTTAAGGCTTATACAAATCCTTTGGTGAAGTAATAATGAATATTGTAATAAATATGTTATATTATAAATAAATTGTGTAAAAGTTATGATATTTGTGTTATTTATCATAGCATATTTTTACGTTCATAACCCGGAGAAAGGACAGGTACCTCAGTTTTTAGTAAACAGTAAGTAAAAAGGGATAGCCAACTATACACACCCAACTTCAACTCAAGCACATCGTACAGTAAAGCCGACAACGCATGCAAATACGACTACGTAACAAAAAAAAACAATCAAACTAATCACAACTGCAGAAGTCATAAGTAACATAAAACACTCAAAAATACAGCACCAGGACAGGACAGAATACAAAACATATTAATAAAAGAGGGGACCCATGAGATTGTATAAGCGCCTACCAGCACTATTTATTTCTTAAATCAGGTTGTATACCGACCACTTGAAAACAAGCTGATGCTCTTATGTTCCCAAAGGAGGGTAAACCAGCAAGTAACTCGGGAAAACTACAGACCTATCAGTCTAACCAGCTGTTTAGGAAAATTGCTAGAAATAACACTAAACAGCAGGTTACTTACTTATCCAGAATTAACTTCAAAATGGCTTTAGAAAATACCGACAAACTACCGATCGAATTTGCCACATCTTCAAAATTCTGAGGATTAACTTACGGTTCGAAATTGACGTGGATTAAACAAAATTAAGAGGATCAAAAATAGGATCTGGCTTAGAGCGAGGTATCTTGCGAGTCTGACAGGTAACAATCAAGCAGCTTCACCAGACACTACACTCAAAATATAACA